AATATATATGCTTATTAATGCTGCTTCGGAAGGAAACTTGCTTGAAAGGCTGTAAGCTACACAGTAGAAAGAACTTAGGCTTAAAAATCTTAAATGTTGTTCTCTCACGAAATACAGGCCGTTGCATTCTTAAGAGAGTGCAACTCTGCTATGTTAATAGGTAACTTATCTTTCCCAATGAAACTTTCAAAATTAAAAAGGATTTTCTACAGCTCCCTCCTCAATTGAAATTTCATAAATATGCTAATGGTAATCTTGTATAGAATCTGCTTAAAGGTCTCGTATTCCTTATTATCTTAAAGCAAGTTGGCGGAATCTCACAGGTTACATTCCATTATATATAGGTAATAAAAATATGTATTATTGTTTAAAACCAATGTAGAGCTCACTTCTGAGCCTAATTGTATAAGTCCATATCTACTTACTTTAAGATATTATATGAATATTATTGACCTTTTGTCTTTAAAATTGCAAACATGGAGTTGTTACTTTTTTGGATATAGACAAATTCTTCGTGTTAACTTTTAAACACTATTATTGGTGAATTTGTACTCATGAAGATCTAGGTACAAATACAATGACAGGCTAGATTAGGCTTCGTAGGCGTGACCAGGTGAAAGGGCGTGGCAATACACCCCGCAATTGTATGCCACTCCCACTCTTGAACCAATTTATAAGTCTTTTTAAATCTTTGAATTGTTCTCCACTTATTGGACAATTGATAAAGCAAATCATACCTTTATTACTCTACACAAATTCCTTAGAAACATGCAATAGGTAATCATTGTAGATCAAACCATAATACAAAAAGAAGCTCAAGGTATATCAACATAAAGTTGAGATAGAAACAAAAGTAGTGCTTTGAGTTATTCAAATATCAGTTTCTTAACGTAATGTAAGTAACGGCCGGTGTATGCCGACCGAAAGATACTGGTTCAATATTTTTCTATTTATATAATTAATACAGAAACAGACCAATTTGATATTGATAACAAACGCGAAAACCTGATTTGGTTATAAGTAGGTACCTACACTTTATTCGTACATTATTAGGAGGTACATAGGTACTGTTTTGCAATTTCAACTTTGATAGTAAGTAGGTGTTTTAATCTAATAACTTCATAAAAAATAATAAACGATTAACCTTTGATTTTTATCATAATTATAATTTAAATTTTTGTTGTTGTGTGTTTGATTCCAACCCTTGACAAGTACAAATATGTACATATTTAATTAGCTGTACCCTGCCACGCTTCGCTGTGGCATATTGTGGTCTGTGGTTACATTAATGAGGAATGAGGAATAAAACTGACGCAAAAATAGATAAAAATAATATTTGGGTTTATAGCGTGTCAGAATTGGAGCTCAATCAGTCCAGATTTTTTTGAGTTTTTTGAGAACGTACACAAACCATAGTTCGTAGATAGAAGATTAACTCCTAAAATTATTATTTAAACTTATAATTGTTATAGTTATAAGTTCCAATTATATAAAGACTAACTTGAATTTATTTAGACGATTAAATGTCTAATAATTCAATGTATTTTACAAAAAGTAAGTCAGATTTACTTTTCTTAAAAGATAATTATTTAAAAGTGTATATTATAAAGTATATCTTTAAATTGAGCCTTGCAAATCAACTAAGTTGGTGTCAACGACCCTGTGCATGCACCTACATCCGTATCCTTATTATAATTTCGGGGTCAAAAGAAGCAGCGTAATCACCCTGTAACTCAGTCAATATTCATTATAAGTTTCCGTTATCAATTTAATAAGGAGGTTAATAAGGTTCTCCCGTATTTTTTGGTGCCTTTGTCTTGTTAAGACTAAGTAACTGCTGTTGTTATTGGTTTCGGAATGCTGTCCTTCTAGAACAGGTATAACGTAAATTAATAGGCATTATTACAGATACCTTAAAGATTGCATAGTAGGTATTAGAGAGGGAGAGAGAAAGTGAAAAAGAATTGAGAGTTATTTTTAAAAGCGATGGTAGTACAAAAATAAAATTATATTTGAGAGAGGTAAGCCGAAATAGGTTTGAGATTCACAAACTCTTCAATACAATGCTTACTCTTTGAGTGTTGAATATTTTACATGTTCATTTATAAACGTCCTATCAATAAATGACGTCAGTAAGAAAGGCTAAGTAACTGAAGTAAGAAATAAAAATCTTAAATGTCTTTCTGAAAGCATCTGCTTTTTAATTGTCATTGTATCGTATTAAAGTCGTGAGTATGATGACCCGTCTCAGTAATGCGCTCTCGAGACCGGAGTCAACACATCCCGGTGTTTGAACAGCCACTTAATGGACATGTTGTGTTTGGGTTGTTAATTCAATTAGTGCCCGTCCCGCCTCGCCAATCAACGGTACTCATTGTTTTGGCGCTACAATGAAATCTTCTATACCTAAAGCTTCTACATAGGATTGACTAAGTTTGCTAAGATTTCTATTTTACATTGAAGTGGGCTATTAACTGCTGTCTGCATGAGGTAATCTGAAATGCTATTATTATAAAAAAAAAATGCAGAGCTAATGCGAATTATCAAGTTCGAAAATCAGTAGTAATTTTCATTTAAATTAGTCTTAAGTTTTATTATTTACAGACATTAAAAGAACATTCAGTAAAAAATAACTGATACTGATCAGTCCATTTAATTCTCTCATTTTATTACAAGTTTTAGAACAGACAGACTCAAATAAAATGTCTTAATAATATTAAGCCAGGAGATGATAATTTTTACTTTTCTATTCCACTTGAAATTGCAGCTGTGTCTTTTTAACTACTGTGTCGTTTGTAAAATTATATGTGCCATATATGCAAACCATTTAGAATATTATCAAGATCCTTGGTTATGGGTTTAATTCATTTTGTACTTACATAGGAACAAACCGAATTTATCTTAGGTCAAGTACAAACACAAGCTAAATACGGATTCACCTTCAATATTTGCTCAAGATAAATCGCAGCCCAGCAACGATAACCGTCGTATTAATAAGAGTATAAATAACCTGCTCACTGTACAATATCTATTATATAATATCATATTAAAAAGATCATTACCTGAAAACTTATACGAGTATAGTTTTTAGACCCATTAGTAACAGGCGGCTGGGTGTGTTTTACAGACTTTGTTTTAAAATGATATATCTGTGCGTGATAAGCGAGATTAAAAGCTTAATAAGGCAAACACGACATTTAGAAACGTATAATAGGTATTGGATCTTTAGAAATACGGAATCATGTATATACGTAACTAAATTGTTGTCATATTATATGTATGAGTAAATTACGTCGCTACTTTGTATATTACGTTCAAGATTATAAACGGGTTATTATGGCCTAGGTCAATCAATCTCACAAAATGTTGCTGTATCAAGATGAATTCTTCGATCACATCTTCAGCAAATTCAGTACTTATAGGCAATGAAAAGGAGGTTAAGGAGTAATTTTCCTGCCACACACCTAACGGTAATGTTTCACGAATTTTACCGAGTAGTGCACCCTGGAGGTGTCGCCCTGCGATCATCGAACCTGCTATGAAAAAACCTGATCTTGTTTCTCTCCGCTTGTACAGTTAGCCGCAAAGCATTAAGTAATCGGAGCCGAGAGCGACGAGATAATGTTGCGCACGCGTGAAATATATCCGAGCGTTTTTATTGCGACCGCGTTCCGCTCCCGGACTGGTATGCGCATGTCTCTGCGCCGAAGAAATTCTGTCGACGAGTGGTTTGCCTCACAGCGACCTTGTCGCGCACACGCAGCCTTCGCCCCCCCCTCCTCGTCTCTCCCCAGGTCCCCGCCAGCCAGCGCCTGTGCCGCTGTGCCGGGCGCTCCTCCGTTGCTGCCTCCGTGAAAGTAGGTGACGGAGCTTGCCGCCTGCTTCGGTGCCACCCGTCTTCACACTCGCTCGCGGCACTTGTGGGCCCTACGCCTGATTTTAAAAGCGGCTTTCTAAATGTTCTCGTGTGTACCTATATGTTACTACGTTAAATATGTGGACAGTCTGCACTGTCACAGAGTGGTATGTCGATATAGGCTTTCTTGACTTTATTTGCTCATATAGTTACGTTTGATTAAACTTGGTTTACCTATGGATAAGCTTAGCATATAAGATGTAGGAACATTTGGATAGGCAGAGGAAAATTGTTGCCAGTGATCATTGACAGGATCTTTAAAATGCTGATGATGTAGTTGGTAGGACCATCCCAATTTAGTCATCATATAATTATTATTTTAATGTTGTGTGATGTGAACTTCTTAACGAATTTAAAAAAAGCCATCTCAATATCGATGTCGAAGTCTTAATATCGCGATGGTGGAATATACTAGGTATTAAGTTAGTATTAAACCTGATTCTCCCGCTCAATGTCTATTCAAATACCTCAGTTCTTGACATCTAGTCCAGTGTCACAGGTTTTACCTTAAAGGGTATAATGTAGAAAAATAGCGCCTTAATTACGTATATTTATGAGTTAATAAGAACGTCATGAATTATACATGCAATTATTTGTAAAATCATGATCAAAGACTTTGTAGGTTACACAGAAATTGGTATCAAACCATGTGACAGATGTAAGACAATCTGAAAATGTAACTAGGAGTGGTAAAAGATATTATTGTACTTTTCTATTAAATTACAGGCAACTATTTTAAGCTATAACTTAAAAAAAAGAAAGTTCAATTTTATATTTAAGTACAATGTTTTATGGGCAGAAACATAATCGTCTTTAATCATAAGCAAATATGTGTGTGATTGTTTATAAGGAAGTATGTGGGACTTTCTTTTGCAAGAGTTATCAATAAGCTGGTTGCACAACGTATTCGAAGAAATATTCCATTGTGAATAATATAAACGCATGATGGTAAATAAATGCAATCGAATGCTTAGTTCAGTCTTCCAGGATTATTTGCCCCTTTGTCCACTCGACATCTCTTCGGGGAACTTGTAGTATGACAACGTCGATTCAGTCCAGTCGATTGCCCGTTTATTGTCTAATGATGGTCTTCGATCAACAGCAACGTGTCCTGCTTAAGGTTTTCAAAGTGAGTACCTTCCTTTATAACAATTGATACGACAAATATTGTGATCAATCTACATACATTACTGAACACGTACACTTTTCATCAATAGAGCCCATAGTTTATCGTACGCATTATCTATGATTAATGTAAGTTAAACTGTAAGCAGTCATTAAGTACCAAAGCATCTGCGATAGCATTATACTTGCCAGTATGCTAATTGTGTGTTTGTTATTCTTATATCAAGTTAAGCTTTTTATCGCTTCTATTGTCCGAACAGCATTTTCTCGATTAACATTGATGATTGACATGTTGGGCAAAAAATAAAACAATACTAGTAGCGCATGCAGGCGCTACTGGCTTCTTTTGACATTCTTAGAGACTCTCGCCATTGATGTGCTTTATTCGTCTTTTCGACTCTTCGTAGAAACAGTTAATCAATAGTATCGCTGTCCGGTTTCTTAGAAAATTAACTTCATTCTTAAGCTTTGACTGTAAAAAGTCTAATGCTATTGCTCCTGTATATTTTAATAGTTATTTTCTTTTTTCTGTCGCCTGAGTTCCTGTTACTTAAACGTATCCGGTATTGCAGCTGGTTTAATGAAACTTTTTTTGTGCTTATATACAGTGTAATATTTAGCTTTGTAATTTTAATTATAATTCTAACTTAATGATTTCTAGCGGTCTTTTTCTTCATCATTTTATATAGGATTTGTTAACTCATTTCGTGCTAATAAACAGTGGTCATGTTTTATTTACATTCCACAAAAAGTTTAACTGTGTTAAGCGATTCAATTACCTTTTTATGTATTCTTTTTTTGTAAAGTGCGCCTAAACATATTATTGAGGAGGATCTGGAACCGGAACTAGCAGTAATTGATAATAAAAGTAGATTTAAGAATCGCTGAAAGAGAAGCAGTCGGTCGAAGTAGATAGATAGCGATTTATGTGGCCGCTCAAGTCTCTTGAGCGTCGTGTAAACGCACTTAATATGAACTACTTTTTGCTTCTCTCTGTTATTATTAATGAATAAATGCTATATGTCCGAGTACTCGAGGTCAACGTACGTGAGGAATGCTGTAAAAAATGCGTTAAGGACATCAGCCCCGCATTCTATCAACTGTAAAACCAATGTTCCACTAGCCACGAGGTCATTAATTCTCTCATTAGCTTCGAATAATTAATAAGACCATGATTGGTGAAAAATGTTTGTTCTGTTCTGTTACGTAAAGTGTTTGTATAACAACAGAGCGTAGGGTTTATTAAATAAGCTTTCTTTTGTTGTTTATGTAGCTGTTGTTGTTGTTATTTTCTACTAAAAAATCGAGGACAAAATAATATCATAAGATAGTATTAAAAATAATAATAATATGTATGTATTTACAAAAAAAAAGTATATATGTATTTATATCAGTTGTCTAGTAGCCATAGTACAAGCTCTGCTTAGTTTGGGACTAGATGGCGTTGTGTGAATGTGGTAGAATATTATTATATTATTATTAAAAAAAATCATTACGACGCTATTTCCTTCGTAATGATTTGTTTTGGTCAGTTGTAACCTTTTTCGTCAATGTATTTATCTTTATAAACCATTGTTATATTCCCTTAGCTTACCTAATATTAATATTATTAGTAGGAAACTATAGTGGGATGAATAACATACAACTGAAGAAAATGAAATGGAAAGTAATAAAAATTAAATACTTAAGGTATACCAGAAAAAAAGTTTTTTTATCTCTCAGTTTTCATGATAAAATGATGTCAAAAAATCTCAATTAATTACAACAGATAGAGATACTAATAATCTTGGAGAAAACTACGGAGTGTGTACTGTGTCGCAGCGGTAATCAGGCAGCAAAGCGCGTGTTTAAGCGCTTTTAATAAATTTAAATCCGGTTCTAATTAAAAAAAAAACGATTGACGTCATAATTAGCAGAAGTTTAACTTAACAGGAAACTTGATAATATTCTAGATTATAGTGGTCATTATTTTTTAAATAATTAAAATACATGAAAACAGCAACAATAGCAAGCATTGCTAAGCTTAATGGAAATGAAACCTATAGTTTAAAAACATGTTATTAAGGTATAGTTGTTTTAGCGATCTATAGTTTTCTTTGATCAACTATATATTATATATTTTATTACAAATATACTCGTATGTGTCTATAATGAATATATTTTAAGAGCTCAATAGTTTTTTTTATTGTTTGTTGAAAAGAAGTAGGTTCTGACATTATCCGTCAGATTTAAATATACATATATTATTATGTTTTTGTATTGAATAGAGTATTTAGTAAAGGGTTGCAATATGACCTTTTTAATTCCTTCTTTCTATTTAATTCTTTCTCTTGTTATAGGTGTTGCGCACTCGTGGCGTGGCGCAAGAGTGTGATGCGTGGCGGGTGGAGCTCAGGTCGCCGGCGCCGCGTGTAGCCGAGACCATGCGGGGCCTGCGCACTACCCGCATAGTCGCCACCGCACTACTGCTCACCGTCGCTGCGATACTCTCCGTGGCAGATGCATCTTCAACTGGGCTTAGTAAGTATTAGTACAGATTTAGTTATTATTATTACTTGATGCTTGAAGCATTGTGGCAAAGCTCTCGAGTTTTTGGTGTACATGGATGACGGTAATCACTTACCATCTGGTGACCCATCTGCTCGTTAGTCACTATTTGCATGAACTATAAACATTTTTATTGACAGTGACAGATATACGATAGGGGTGCGCTAAGAGAGCTTTTGTCGAAAACTGGGTATCGGTATTCTATTTGTGAATAAAACATCGTGTATTAGGTCCTTTAGTGGACATGATGTGGTAGCTCAGGGCTTCAAGTTTATGAGATCATAAAGGTGACTGCAGATTAACAGGATCCAACTGCTTAAACTCCGGACATTCGATATAACACCCCATTCCTAACAGCTGTCTATAATATGCTGTCGATTCTGGCTATCTAAGTTAAGTTTGGACATAATGGTATTGACCAGAAGCCCTAAATGGTCAGTAAAGACACACTTTAGAAAGTAGTACCTACTTTTGTTCGAAATGACTCTTTTTCGGTGATAAGAAACACGCCTGTGTTTTTGTCATGTTTTTAAAGAGGTATAATTGAGACGATTGGCGTAACCCCGATCGAACACCCTCTGTATCCTCAAGAGTGTTATGATTCCTAGTATTGGGATATTAAGTTGTCCACAGTATTGCAGTGGAGTGCTGTAGTTTGTTTTGATTGTTTGTGTTTCATAAAATAAAACTAAAAAGTAAAAAGATCAATGTATAAAACTGTAAATTGGTTTAATTTCTTACCAAGTAAAAATTTAACGTCTTCGCTCTTCAATGTAAGAATTCCTTTTCTACTATTTATAAAGATCACCAATACTCAAAACGTAGTAGTAGTATTAGTTTAATCTTTTCCATGACGTATGGCTTAACTCAACATTGATGTATAGCTTTGATATTATTATCAAGTTCGTGCCTGTAAAGTACGACGCTTTGTGCAATAATCAGCAAAATAGACAAAACCGCAAGGAAATCGTTACCAAGTTCAATAATGTTCGACAGGTCGGTTGCACAACGATCGGTCCTTTGCAACAAAGCATCTGCAAAACATTCTCTTGTAGATTATAAATATTGTTTGCCACTCTGTTAGTGTTTCTGTCTTTATAACTAGCCTCAAGCCGAGATGGAAGTCTATAGCACTATAGCTTTAATTATTTCATTTAATTTGCTGCTATGCCTAAACTTTGTAGGCGATATAATGCGTTGTCTAAAGCTTGTCATGGAGTAGAAATATGTAAGCCCTAAAAAAATCTTTATACGAATTATTTGTAAGGAATATTGTTAATGTTGTTTCGTGCTTGTTTTTGAATTATATTTGCATTTTATTTTACTCTTTGTGCTTTTTTAAATATTAATTTAATGCTAATTCCCAACATTTTAGTGCATGCTGTGGTCTCCTATAACTAAAGGAGTGCACTAACCAAAAAACATATTATTTGTATAAAGTGGCTTTATTGTGTACATCTCTTGTTGAAGGTCCTTAATACATAAATAACTAAATTTAAAATTTAGATCAACTTTCAGATTTTATAAAGAAATGACGTAGCAACGTTAGGAAAGTTAAGTTAAGAAAATTCGGCACGCATGTCGGCTTTATTATAATACAAGACTGAATTAACAGTATTAATGAAAAGAAATATTTTTTTAATTACTTTTAATTTTAAAAAGTTATTACACGAACCAGCACATCCAAACAAGTTTCGACATATCTCGGTTTTAAAATTAACAAATATATAATGTTACGACCACTGCGAAAATAGTTATGCATGACACTTAATGAAAGATTAGCAAAGTTCATCGACAACAGACTGATAAGGAACAAATTATGGCTTTAGAACCTATAGTCTGTTAAAAAATATATATATTATTTTGATCGTCCAAAATGAAAGTTTTACCACTTAACCAAATTAATGTTACATAATATATAGGAAGGTAAATATATAACTGAAATTATTCAGAATGAAAGGAAATAAAAAAGAAAATTATATTAAAGGGTAAATTATGGGTTATTTGCCTTGAATAAGCCTTATTATTAACTTAATAGACCTCGTCAACTTCATTATGCTGTATTCAGAAGCTATTGAGATGAAATTGATAATATTGTTGGTTTCAGGCCTGGAGCTGAGCATGAATAGATGCTTAAGTTATTATCCTTAAGCTTAGAATCACCATATAAGATCGCACCAACAAGTACCTTTCTAAAATTATCCTCGTCTATCTACCATTATTGAAATGGCCATTAAATGCATAGGTATTTTATAATATTATACATGATCACATTTTCCGATTAACCAATGCCTGAATGAACGTAATTTACTTGTATATAAAGTGTTAAAGTACCGTTTGTTTTCGTTATAATCATAATTCCTTGTCACTTATCAAAATAATATCGTTTACTGGTAATCGTATTACTTTTGTTTAAAAAAGCAAACTTTAAGAATCATCAACGCACTTACATTCATAAAATATTTTGGTAACCAATGAAATCACAAGGAATAATACGTATTACTTTCGACAGGTTTTATGATTACTTAATCTGGTTTATTAATGTCTTCTACAATAAGATTGTTTGTTTTTATAATGCTTTTGAAAGTTACTGTAATAATATATATTACGTTAAGACTACGTGTAATAAATTTTTGATCTCATAAAATGAAACTACAAAATAAACATCAAGTAATATAAGATATATAATGGAACTACATAATGATGTTAATATCGTATAATTTGTTAATCAATTGTTAAAAGAAAGTTTAAAATATACCTATGTTTAATTAGCGATACACAGATAGTTCAAACACATCTTATAATTTAAAAAAACATAAGAAACTTAATGAAAGATTAGAAGAACAGATCTGTTTACTGGCTTTATTAAAAAAGTCAGTGTTAGTTCGGAGCAATTCTTTTGATTTCTGAACAAGCTCATTGAGGAAACCGAGGACAAGTTCAGTGTCAAACATTGCATAACGACATTGATGCGCGATTAAAATGGTTTATCTAGCATTCGTTATTCACGCGGCACACACTCATCTAATACATAAGCTAAGAACATTCGTTAGCGTTCAGATTTTTCTAAAATCGATTGAAGTATACATATATTATTAATTTAAACAGGCATTGAATCAAGGATTTTAATTTTTCCTGATAAGAAAATTCTTTTCTCAAGAGTATCAACACGTAGCGTGTTTCTGTTATTTTAAATAACAACAACACAAGTTTTGGAAATTATCGTAGATTGATTTGTGAATCTATATTATTATTAGAAGAGACTTAATATAATTCATTAACAATATGAATTACCTAGCTAATTTGTTAATTTACAATTCAGTGAATTATTTATAAAACCGTTTACCTTGAAAACCGCTTGTTGCTATGAGATGTGATAAAATATATAGAGTGTGTGTTTGCAAAAATCTGAAACGTATGCTTAACCATCATCCAATTATAATTGAATTGAGTCCATTACTTCTAAAAATTAAGTGAGTTGCTTTAAGACTTAAACAACAAAATATTTGATCAGAAAATTAGCAGCATATTTGAATATTATCGATGATCTTGCTCGGAGAAGTAAACATTTAGTGAGGAATTCTAACATAGATGAGCATATTTAATTACCTACAAAAATATTTACGTGGACAGTACGACCGGTGGCGCCCGAAGTGGCTACGTAATAAGAATGCGGATCCATGGATCTAAATCAAGGTAATATGTGATCAGACGGCTAAGACATCGACACTGAGACGCAATGTCGATGTCATTTATACGAAATTTGACGCGTCGATGTTTCGTGACGATCCATAACATTACTACGATTTCGTGTTATGGAATTATTATGTTACTGTTGTAACGTTTTGATTTTTATTTATTTATTCATATATAGACTTCCTATCACATTGTGACATATTAATTTGTACAATTTAAGCGTTATCATATTATTTATTGTCATCCTGTGACTAGTTTAGAATAATATTGATACTGTGAAACATGAATGCATTAAAACAGTAATACAATAGATTTTTTACAATTCTTGTATAAATTATATTTTTATTAGTTTTTCTTCCATATAGAGTATCCTTATATCGATAAATTGAATAACTCTCCAATTACATAGGAATTTAGCATCGTAAAGGACGATGTCTCAATAAGATATTCTATCAATTTATCAATCCTTTTGATATTTACATTATAATTAAATCTTTGATGTTAACATTATAGTAGTTTTTTTAAGATGTATTCTCGTTTGACTTTAAATGTTTCATTAAAACAAAAACATTTAATTCCAGAAATCGCACAGATCCGCCTCTTAGGCCACAAAAATTGTGCAAAAATAAGTCTGTATTTTCGTACGGGCATTAAAAAATAGACAGATATGTTCTAAATATTATTACAATATCAATATTGTAATCGGAATAACTTATATATATATATATATACTTACATAACTTACAGAAGTTTATTGAGTAATCTTATAGCTTAAATATTAATATATATTATAAGATAAGCTTAGATATATAATATACATTAACATGAACTCAGTATGTACATTACTAATTAGCAATTGAACCTATTCTGTAAGCTCAGATACTATTAGTTACTAATTTTAAGGTAATTACTGCCTCTCTTATAGATAACATTTGATTATATCTAAAAAAATTGACTGTCACAATATTTAAAACGTTTGTTGCTTCTACGGAATTATTTATATGATCTACATTGCTTCGATGTTTATTGTGAGCATTTACACCGTAATTCGAGTTCGTTTTCTTGTTCTGATTTGCTTTTCTAAATTCGATTTCATTGCATGTATTGGTTTGCTCTGCCCAATACAATTGTAAATAAACTCGCAGTGAATAATAAACTGTAAAACTAGACTTGAGTTTATATAAAGAGGTCATAGTAAAATAAATTAACATACAAATATTCAACGGTCAGTTAGTGCATTGCTATATAGGACAGACGGTTCCCACGCGACTTGCTCAAATCCCAGTCGCACTTGTCGTGGTCATTCGTACGACACTCGGAAGGTACGACAAGCGACAATGATTACAGAATTATACGCTTCTAATGCTACACTTAGGCCCGTATCTTAAAAGACGTCTGAGGTATCGGTTGAACTCTGATTGCCTGAAACTAGTTTTAAGTGTCGATCAAAAGTTTTACTCAGTTGAAACTAGTTTCAAGTATTGATTTGAAGTTAAAGTTTGTTCTCAATTACGTTGCCGCATGATTAAAATTTTTAGTCCGTATTACGAAGCTAATTATTTAAAAAAATAATTTTCTTTTACAAACATAATATCTGTGAATTTGTATATAGTATACTATTGGCTAGTGTAGCAATTTTAACATATTAACAAGCTTGTTGTTCCTCCAAAATTAAATATAATATATATTAAAATAAAAATGACTAGATATAGGCTAGGCTATAACGGAACGTTCAAGTTATTTATCAACACTTGTCATGTTGAAATGTCAAATAATGTTTTTATTTTTATCTTTCTAAAGTTTATATTACCAGAATATTTTTATATTATACTTTTACCATAAACCAAAAGGTTTTGATTTTAATTTCAACAAGTATTGTGTATGTAATATCAACTTTAACTACACGGATGGCGTAGTGGTTTAAGCGGTCGCTACGCAGCCTACTACTACGCTGAGTGTTGTGGGTCCGATCCCCACATGGGACGACACTTTGTGTGATCCACAAATTGTTGTTCTGAGTCTGGGTGTTCTTTGTGTCTGTTTCATGTGTGTGTAATGAATTATGAGTATTACAACGCTTTACACAATACGAGCTACTTTGGTTTTACAGTGTTAAATTAAATACATTTACAGTTATAATTATTTATGATTATTACTTTAAGGTCTATTGTTGTGTTTACAGTAGGGGACCGTGCATCGTGCTCTAACGAAGGCGAGCCTGTTCTTCTAGAAGACGCAAGATTGGAGCAAGACTGGAGTAGTTGCTACCACTGTTTCTGTAAGGTAAGAAGGCGTTTTATTTTCTTTTAGTACTAAGCGCAATATATAATTTTATTATATAGGTAATTCTCAGTATACTAATACACTCAGGCATTCCCAATAATTCGTTTATAATTCTATAAGTCCTTATTTTGTAATCCGAACCACACAAGTAATGTCAACATATTAATATCTTTAATATTTCACATAATAGGTGTAGGCGTATTTGTCCTTGATACCGAGCAATGACGTTCGTTTACCTAGCATTCCATATAGATCGTTATTTATACTTCCATATTTATACACAACAATTCGCATCACGTACCCGAAGGGTCAGAAAAACCGACTGCTATACGCAAGTACGTAAAGTTAGTCTATTTGCGATTTGCCACCTTTGATTTATTCAAATACCGACGTGATTGCCGCCGTGTTTTGCTTATAAATACATCCAATTTAATAGTTTAAATAAGTGTGATGAAATATTATCATGAGGATTAATGTCAGGAGTTAGTAACTAAAATATCTATGCCCATGATCTGGGCAAAGATGAGTCGCGATGGCGGTAGCCTCGTGGTGGTCGTAAAAATTTATTGAGATTAAGCATTGTTCTATCTACATATGTACATCTTGTAGTTTAGATGAGTTCTAGTGTTCAATGTATGTTTAAGAATTCTACTACTGGTAGTGTAGATCATTTTTAAGAACTTGAAGTTTTTTGTGTGTTGTCACATTTTTAGCAACCTGTTCCATTTGCTTTTTTTTTTCAATTACCCTCTTGTTCTAAATATTTTGTCGGTTTTTTTTATGTAACCTTCTATACTATTGTGACAGACCGGTGGTTGGTTTCTAAATATCTCACATTTAGATATAATAGATCCTTAAGAAGCCCTATGGCTATTCTACTATATAAAAGAGATTTGGCTATGAAATAACTGTCTGCTAATAACTAAAACTGAAATAAACTTTACCTCAAATAGTTTAGTAATCCTAAGACCACTGGTTAGTCGTTAGTCAGCTTTAAAGGATAACCTGAAAAACATTGTGATTGTAGCAGTGAATTGTGATAGGCTTAATAAGAATTTCGATGGAATGTATATATTTTTACAGAACCTGAATTCATTATATCGGAATATAAAAACTTTCGAATGCTAGTTAGTAATGATAGTATAATTGAAATAAGTTTCAAAGTTCTCGATAATGAAACGTATAAATAAATATAATAGACGAAATACAGCATACGATGCTAGTAATTGTCTCGGGTACTTACTTATGGAACGTTTGTATGCCTACACGGCGACCACTGTCACCAAATCAATTTATCACGCTCCAAGTTTGGAATAATAATTCAAAGGCGCGCGTGCTACAAGTTCACACCCAGACAATAACTAGTAATTTAATTAGCGGGTATATTTTCTTGGAATTTCTCAATGTATGTATAGTGACATGCTTATTATTAATTTAGGAAAGTGTGATTTGGGAAATATGTGGGTAACTAATTGAACAATGTTATTTTCTGATCGTTATTAATATTTATTCTTTTAGATTACGATTTCCAGGTGTCGATTAGTTGGTTGGTCAACATACAAATAATGAACTCATAGTCACAAAAACCAAATCGTTAAACAATAATCTTGAAAATCTATAATTTTAATAACTGCTGATGTCATGTACCTGTTATAAATTATTTTTAACTCTCATGTTGAAATTCAACATTTTTAACTCGTAAGTATAAGACATAAAACCGCCCGCTTGATATATCAGTTTTAATATCGAATAGTTCTTGATTCTTGATAAACTTGGGAAATATATTACAGCAATATAGTAGTAAGTACTGTTTCTTTATAATAGGGAAGTCCCTAGTTTTTGGAAATCGGATAGGAATTCGGATTTCTTTGCCCGTTCCTCGTTCGTTTTTCGTAATACGTTCCTTCTACATTAATCCCCATCGGTGGCAGATCCAAGCCCTGGTTCGACAGATCATACAAATGCATATTCAAATTCAGCCACGGTAGGCGATGTAAATACCCCATATGCTTAAAAAACATAATATAACTTTGCCTTCAGGTCCCTTAAAAGAGCCATCGCGAGAGCGAAATCGAAGCACATCAGCTGGATCGGTAAGAGATTGGTGAGACTTTCTTCTGGAACTCGTGCTTTCTGGTCTCTTGTCCAGGCTGTCCAGGGGAATTTCTGTAGCCAATCCCTTCCACCCATGCAGATAGGAGATAATCCGTTTGCCTATTATGCCAAGGAGAAAGAGGATCTCCTAGGCGAACTTTTTGCATCCAATTCGACTTTGGATGAAGAGGGAAACGTACGGCCTACCATGCCGCGGTGCCAGAGCTGTATGCCGGAAATCCGGTTCAGCCAAAAATCAGTGCGTAAAGCACTCTTTTTCGTTGAAAAAGTTGATAAGTCGAGTGAGCCCAATGAATTCTTCTTATCGTGTAGAAGATGTGTCCTCCGGAGTTGGTACTGGTTTTAACGCGCGTTTTTCCACTCTCCTACTCCCGTCGTCCCGAACTCCTGGAAGGTAGCGTTTGTGCACCCGATCCCTAAAAAAGGTGACCGGTCTGACCCGTCAAACTACATGCCTGTACCTATAACACCGTTGTTTTCTAAGATTATGGAATCCATGATCAACTGCTAGCTCCTCCGGTACTTCGCTGATCACCACATGAGGTTTCAGATTAGGGTCGAGTAACCCAATTCAAGAGAAGAGCGTACTCCTTCCCAAAAGGCCGGCAACGCGTTTGTGACTCCTGAGTTGCAGGCGTTCATGGGCGGCGGTAGTCACTTTCCATCAGGTAACTCGCCTGCTCGTCTGCTCCCTCTTACATAAAAATAAAATAAATTAGATTCTACGCATTACTCGACGAATCATACCAGTTTAAATTCTTATTATTATCATCATCACACATTAACAGCCTTTACTAGTCCACTGCTGGACATAGGCCTCTCTTTATTCGTTGCTCTTTACCGAATGAATGAGGTTATCGAATTCCAAACTCAGGGAGAGTTTGGAATTCGGTCCTTCTCATTCTGGCGGGAAGGACTGAACAACAACAACGCACTTGTGACTCTTCAGTTGCGTGTGTCCATAGGCGGCGGTAGTCACTTACCATCAAGTGACCCATCTACTTGTTTGCCTCCCGTATACCATAAAAAAAGTTGAATAAGTACCAAGGGCAGGTTCATTGCTGCATAATTTGGATAGATCCTAATTTTTGTAATCGAATGGAAATGTTATTGAAATAATAGGTTGATATAGTGTAATCCAGATCTGAGTAACAATAACAAATCAGGATTTGTGACTTTCTTTTTAAAGACAACTCCCACACTAGGAATAGATTCTGTGTCATGGGGCACTTTACAAACATACATTAAACGGACACAAAGGACACCCAGACTGAGAACAACAATTTGTGGATCACACAAAGTGTTGTCCCATGTCGGGATCGAACCCACAACACCCAACACAGTAGGAAGCGGGGAGGTGACCCTTAAACCACCATCCGTGCATTCATACATTATAGAGAATTTACCCAGATTCAATGTTTTAGAAACATTATATAAATTAAATAAATACCTACTGAGGTAGGCATTTATTCCAATAATATGTGTGTCTTTAATTTGATAAATGACATGATTTTTCTTACTATCTTTTGCAATATAATGTTGAAGATTGATCTCTATAGCTCTAATGAAGGTTCGAAGAGTTCGTCTATTATCCGTTGTCAAGAAAATAAGCATTAAATCGTATGTTTATAAGTAAAACGAAAATAACGAAAGTTGTTATACCAGTTTTGATACCTTTACGTACTATAAAGAGTAAAGTAGCAAACTAAAAAATAAGTTGTAAAATAAAATGCAAATTTTGGCTTCGATTTTATTTAATAGTCAATGACATTAAACTTGCAATGCTAAATCAAGGTTGTATTTATGAACCCTAGAATGTTTTCGAGCGCGATGTAAAAATTAAAAAAAAATGATAATTAATATCTTAAGACATACTATATGTTGGAATTCCGAATACGTAATAAAGCAAAACGTAAGATTTATCACAAAATTATAATATTGTTGCTTATCAACATGATTTGTTATGGCATCCTGTCTTTTTGAGTGTGGACTTGATTGGTGACATTTGTTATTTTAATTAGATTTAGATCGAGTTATTTAAAAAAATTACAAATTTCTACCTTTAGATTAAAATGGTAAATTACAATATCAAGTTGTTGACGGCATTAATGGAAGATGGAATTGACTCCTGAAATTTTACTGATTTTTTACTATCAACTCTTACAAATATTCTATGATACCAAACAACTTCTTCCATGGTATTATTGAAAACTATTTTTCTTTATTAATGATGACGATATCTCTATTATAGAGGTTAGAATAGACGCGTATTGGTTTGCGTCTGTGAAGCTCCCGGTCGTCCAGATCTCAGGTGCCTGCGACAATCTAGCGAAAACTACCAATGCGGAACTTCTTGTCAAGCACAGGAATCCGACGCAACTGTTCCCCTACATTCCATTATATTTATCCCCGACCACATTCCTCAACTTAAATTTTTATTTCTAATAAGTACTTATATACCCGCTTCGATTTAATAACTTACCGACTCACAATAAAACTCAAGGTGGTATTTTATAAAAGAATAAAAACATAATAAATACGTTGTCGTTGTACAGCTGTTGGCGTCTACACGACATCAGTATGTATGTAGGAATACCGTACGTAGACGTGGATAGGTATATTATGGTATTTCCCAGCCGATCTCACCTCGTCGGATGACTTGCGCGGAATTCGAAAGCCCATCGCGAGATTTATCGCCTATTCTGAATTAAAATATACATTTGCTTACTTAATGGGAGTTTTTTGTCACGTGTCACGTAGCGACTATGGGACACCATATTACTTTTTTTTATGATTTATCAATACTTTTGACATTGAAATGTGTGCACAAAATGACGTGCTTTTCTTTGATTTTTTATTAACCATGCCAAACCAATTTTTGTAAC